GCTGGAGTCGGACGTTCAACCGACTGAGCCACCCAGGCGCCCCTGTTTTGGCAAACATTTCTCTATTCTTGCTCCTCCAGTGTGCGATGGTGTAGACTGGGGGGCCGCCCACTCTGCTCGTGGCTGCTGGCTGCACTGCCCACGCCCATCACCGCCTGGTTCTGCTCCCTGGCCGGCGGCGTCCGCTTTCCTAGCACGTTACATAAGCTCCCCTGCGTGACGCTGATGTGTGGCCACGGTGGTGAGAAATTGCTAGGCCCCTGCTGCAGACTGTTCCCTGTGCCTGGAGTACCCCCACCCCCCCATTCGCATGCCCACATTTTGCCCTTGACAAATTTTACCGTCCGTGAGGACCCTAAATGCAGTCCCTGGAGTCACCTCCCGTGGACGCTCCTCAGCCCCTGCCTTCTGTCAGGGGGCTGCCTTCTTGTGCCTGGACGCTTGGCCCGCAGTGTTGGGAGCCAGGGAGGGGGCTGGGGTGCCAGCCTGTGGGGACTCACTGTTCCTTCCCCTGGTGCCTCGCGCAGTGCCGTCGGCATCACTGAGGCGGTGTCGAGGGCTGCCCAGTGGAACTGACCGTGCGAGTAGAGGCCCCGGTCTACCGGGAAGGCTGCCAGGGAGAGAGACTTGCTGGAACTTCTCTCCGGGTGTTTTCCTGAAGAAACTAATGCAGATATCTAGTGATCGTTCGTTCCCAAGCTGAAAGCATTTTTGACTACCCGTGTCAAAACTTTGTGAAGAGACTAATAAAAAATAGCTTCATAGGATACTTAGCGGGCATGAACTTTGGGACTTGTCGTCTCTGTATGTGAATCCTAGACACCCATTTTGATATCTGCACTTTTGTTGAAACCCGATTAAGCCAATAGGAAAATCAAAGATCTTTACCCATCTCTCTAGCTTGCAGTCGAAACTATTTTTTTTCCCCCAAAGCCTTTGAGGGCTGTTACTCGGTCTGGTGCAAACAATTTATTGTTAAAGTCCTAGAATATTTGCATTTTAATTAAAGAAAATTTTAATTAAACTGGAAACTTTGTTGAGAAAAGGCAAGTTCAGACAGCAAGTACACTTTGGGAATTCTGTGTTTGGTGCCATTTAAAGAGTAAAATGGCATGTGTCTGTCTGGCGAACTTAGTTGAAAACATCTCCCAGCCCCCTCTGGGGAGCAATTGCTGGAGCAGCCGAGGGAGGCTGGCCTCGGAAGGGCTGCACACTGGCCAGGTGTTGAGATGTTTTAGACAGAGATGCAGATGAGAAATCAACTTTTCTTTGGCAGGGGATGGCGGGGGAGGTCAGACGGTCAGAAGAAATACAGAAGCTCTCTTTTTTAAAAAAAATTTAATGTTTATTTATTTTTGAGAGAGAGAGAGAGTATGAGCAGGGGAGGGGCAGGGAGAGAGGGAGACACAGAATCCAAAGCAGGCTTCAGGCTCCGAGCTGTCAGCACAGAGCCCGACGTGGGGCTCGAACTCGCAGACTGAGATCATGACCTGAGCCGAAGTCGGACGCTCAACCGACGGAGCCACCCAGGCGCCCCTACAGCAACTATATTAATAGAAATATTTTCATACATTTATGTCCACTTTGACGATGAGAAGTAGATTTGGCAGAACTGAAACGAAATTGTTTTACTAAATAGCATCTTACTATAGTGCCATATCAGCAGTCGGGTCAGCAGTGACCCGGAGGCATGGCTCTAGCCCTGCATCCACAGTGAGAAGACTGCGTTCCCGCCTGGGTTCTGCCCCTTTTAAAAGCTGTGTGACCTTGGACAGGCCATAGAGTAAAGAGTGAAGTTTCCCCAGCCGTGAAGTGCACATGGTAACCTCTGCCCTCTTAACACCACGAGCTTCTGTGATGGTCAAATGATGGAAAACCATGCAAATGCAAACACCATTAATGCGCGATATCAGTGTACAAAACACTTTGGTTAAGATTTGTGAGCAAATTTAATGTAAAGTACAAAAACAGTGAATTATTTAAACATTAGGGGGAAGTGCCTCCTATTGTTGAAATGCAAAGTCAGTGTCCTGATGTTTCATGATTCTTTTTTTAATGTTTATTTATTTTTGAGAGAGAGAGCACGCACGCACGAGCGCAGGGGAGGGGCAGAGAGAGAGGGAGACAGAATCCAAAGCAGGCTCCAGGCTCCCCGAGCTGTCAGCCCAGAGCCCGTCACGGGGCTTGAAGTCGTGAACCGTGAGATCACGACCTGAGCTGACGTCAGACACTTAACCAACTGAGCCACCCAGGCGCCCCTGTCATGATTCGCAATGCAGCTGCGAGGAAATCACGATTAGGGTTTTGAACCCCTCTCCCAACTTTCAGATTGATAAAGGTCACACATTAATTTCACCTTACTCCAAGTATATTCTGAAAGATGGGGTGCCTGTGTGTCTCCAAAGATAATCATGGAACTGAAAAGGTTTCTTAATATCCTGTCATGTACACATGATGACAACAGCTGTCAAAGAAGAGGTTTGGTGAACATGGGTCAAGTCCCAGGGCAAACGCTGCTTAGGTGAGAGGTGCATATCAACAGGCACAGAGAGTGACTGGACTGCCATGTGCTGGGCGACAAGAGATCAGGGACAGGGCTTTTCAAGACTATTTACATGGTCCGGGTGTAAGTTGATGCGAGCCTGCCCTGCGGTGGTAGTGTGGGATTGGAAAGGAGAGGAGGAGAAATGCATTTCGAATTTTTCATTTGTCCAAGGTGTCCTTCCTTCCAGTGAGCACTTATGTAATGGCAGCCCCTTGGATCCTGCCGTGGCTCTGTAGGGAAAGTAACAGGCAAGGCAGGCTTTTGTTTGTTTCTAGGAGCTTTCACTGAGGCCCTTTCACTGTTGGTGGCCTGGTAGCCAGCGCCCTGCATCTCCTCCCCACTGCTTAGCTGACAGCTGCAGGTAGAGAAGCTTTGCCTGTTTGGGAGGCAGCTCTGAGAGCAGAGGGGAAAGAGGGAGAGGCTGAGGGGGGGGGAAGCGGAAGTGGCTCCATCAGTAGCATCGAGATTAAACAGCTCTCTCATCTAATGGTAGGAAATGAGGCATTTTCAGCGGGGCCAGCTCTGATAGCTGTGTCCTTGCGATGCCACACCGGGCGTGCGGGGGTAGGAGGCAGTTTGTAGTGAAGCAAGTTAAGAAATAGACCCAGACACGGGTCATCTTTCTCCTCGGCACAAAGGTGGCCTCCAGTGAGATTAGACCAACCTTCCCCCACACTGTCAAAGTCTACAACAGAAACACCGACGGATATTTGACTAAATTAAAAAACAAACAAACAACTACCCTTTCTAATGTAGGAGCTGTTTATCAAGGACTTAATCCAAGCAGATGTTATGGGGTCGTGTATTGATGCTTACCGCGTGGAAGGCACTGTGACGAATACAGTCAATGCACAGCCAGAAACATGCAGATTGCCAGGCTCAGCCCCGGAGACTCAAATAAATGGGTCCAGCCTAGGGCCCCAGAAGCTGCCTTTTTTAACTGGCTTCTAGCTGACGCCCATGCTGCTGGTTCCTAGACCACGCTTGGCATAGCCAAGTTGAAGGGCACCTTACTAGAGGCGTGCTTCTCCAACTTTATTGTGTTACGATGCAGATTGCAACTCAGTTGATCTAGAGAGTCAGTGGCCGAGTCTACCTGACTGTCGAAGCCCACTGTCGTGCTCACCACCACCATCTGATCCTTCAAGAACAGCAACCAGAAAGAAGACAAGGCTTCGATTCCCGAATGGCTACCCCTTACGGATTCTTGGTTTGTTCAACGTGTCGTGCCAAGTGCTCTGCGTGTCTTCTCTCATTTAGTCCTGACAAGAGCTTATGGAGAAAGATAGGAAAAAAAAACAAAAAAAAACAAAAAAACAAAAAAACAAAAAAACAACTTACTGAGGGAAGACAATTCCCATTTTAAAGATGAAACAACTGAGCCTCAGAGAGATCTCCTCCACGCTAAAGACTTTCATTTGCTATTTAAAGTACCTGTCCTCTGTTGTCTGTGTCCCTCGATGGTCCTTCCTTGACATGTGCTCGGCTAAGCAGAATCTTTGTGGCTCCACGCAGAAAAACAGACAGGCTCTGCTAACTAGAAATTGTTTTTAATCCCCCAGTAAGCATGTGATGCATTACACAGTTGTATTTTTTCTTAGACTCTGGGTAACCTCTAAATTTAGTCTTAAGAGAGTTATGGGCAGACAAAACAATGTAATTTATTAGGCCTTATTACGTACCTTGTACTTTCATATCTGTTTTTTATTTTTTTAACTCTCTGTACTGCCCTAAAGGTCGGAATGATCCCCCCTCCCTCATTTTAACAGATGACAACTAGAGAAGGTTCTTGACCTGCTCAGCATCACACAGCTACAGAGACTGGGTTGGGCTCGGAAGCCAGCTCTTACCCTTAGGCCCTACTGCCTCCCAGTTCCTCATCTGTGAAATGGGGGAGAATAATACTCATTACTCAGACAAAGTCTAATACCTGGCATTGATTAGCCGTTCAATACAGGGGAGCCGTGTATTACTTCGATTGTTTCGATGGGGCTCAACGTGGACCGAAAGCCCTTGAGTCACCACCCACCCCCAGCGTCTCTGGAAGTTAAATGCCCCACGTCACTTTGTTAGATTATGTCTGAAACTGCGGCTCGTTTAAAAGGACCTGATCTGAGCTGCTAGATATAAGACGTCGTTTCTTTTCTTATAGCCCGAAACACCAGCTTGTTCCAATTAGAAATAACTGTAAGGCATCTGCTGAAAATATGTGCACTTTTGTTAATCTGGGGTTGCTCAAGAGAATGGAAGAGAGGTTTATATATTACATTTGCTAATAAAGAGAAATGTTAAATATAAACAGTATTTCAAGATGAGGACGAAAATGAAATACCTAAAACCTTACCATGTCCAGCTGGTTCATATTTACATCGCCAGAAGGAAACACTGGAAACCTTCTGCATTCTTAAATTAAAGGGACAAATCGTTATCTGCAGCGAGCCGTGGGCCAGGGGCAGGGTGGGGCCGGAGATAATAGTATCAGCAGGAACAAAGACCGTCACTGACCAGCGAAAGATTGACTTTCCACCCCACCCCATTTTTTCTGAATCTAAAACGAATCCCATCACACTGCGTCGTAACACGGGAGCAAACTAGAACAGAGAAAAGCCAGTGCAGTCACAGAGGCTAAGTGTATCCTCCCCACAACGGAGACCGTCCTTTGGCGTAATTCACACCAGCGTGGCCTCCCCTGGAGCAGACACCACTTCCTGGGAGTAAACGACGCTGGTCTTAGGCTACCGGGGTCCCATTCACTTAGTTATTGCTTCAGGACCCTTCACGGTGCCCTCGTGGCCCCAAGTGAGCGAACGCAGTTTCTCTAACACCCTGACTTCTGGGAGTGGCTTGTGCGTGACAAGAAGCCGCTTCCTCGTAAGCCACGCAAAATCCATGCCACGAGACGCCTCTGGAACTCCCAGAGCCAGTGTCAAGCTGTGAAAGCGGCCGTAGCCGGTACCTTGGCCGGTACAGATCGCTGGCATCCTTTACAAAAGCAGAGCTGCCCTTTCCCTAGCCGAGACGGGTGGAAAAGACAAGGTCTACGAATTGAAGATCTTACAGCTGTGCCACATGCTTTTGAAAAGAAAGAACTCAGTCATTCAAACAGCCTGGTTTTTACGAAGTGACATTTCAGATTATGATACGACATCGCAGATTTGACACGATTGTGCTAATTGTGAGAAAATATGCTACTTTGATCAAACCGGAATAAAGGAAATAAAAAGACAGTGTGGTTCCACTTGTGCTGAAGAGTGGCTCATCCTCACAGCTTTTGGGTTGTTGCCGTCCAACACCCTTAACGTCTTCCTAGCCGGGAGCCTGTTGCCTGCTTGCTGTTAATGGGAATTTAACATACGAGCTTTCGTGTGAGTTGTTTGCCTAATTCGGATTCCTCGTGCTGACTGGCACGGATTGTATTTAACTGGTTTTATTGTGACGTGACTATGATGGATGTGACAAGGGCTTCTATTATTCGCTGGGGAGTGTGGCCGTTAATGAAGCCATTAGCCGAGCTAAGGCAAGTGAAGAAAATAGGGAAATTACCATTATTCCGAAGCCATTAAGTTGTAATCCGCCACTTTCTCTCCTTCCTCAAAAAGGCGTCGTCTTTTTAAGGCCTCCCTGACTGTCCTTTAAAGATTCATTAATTCATTAACTTTCCAAGGAGATAGGGGTGGATGGCACGGTTGAAATTTTAATCAGTCCAGCATATCATATTATTACCATTACGCCGGTGTCTGCGCTCATGGCTGGACCACAGCAGGTTAATTTTAAACAGACCCCATTACAGAAGATGTGGTTCTGTTCTGTGCGTCACAGGAAGAGCTTCACGGAGCTCTTTTCATGCTCGGTAGGTACACAGGACAGGCAGTCTGTACCCTCATGTTACAGATGAGTGAACTGAGGCTTAGGGGGCCTAAATCACCGGGGGAGTGATACCACGTGGGAGAACACGGGTCTCCCATTTACATTCTCCTTGAACCTTTCTGTATTACAGCGTGGGCTTCTCCCGTGCAAATGCTTTGCTGCAAAAGGAAAACTAACCTCTGCTTGGCACACGTCCTTTGAAAAGGAACGTCTCGCGTTGTGCCCTGTGCCCAGTGCGTGCCCACCATCTTTCCATCCGTCTCCGGTCACGGCTGACCAGGGCTTTGCGGAGTCGGTTACACAGCGACAGTGTGCTAGTCCTGGCCCTGTCGGGCATAGTCTCCTACTTCTGCATTTATGTGGAGAGGCGAACGCTGCCTGTGGGACTCATAGATGTCTTCTGCAGCGTCAGGAAGCTTGCCCCGTGGGTGGTTTCAGTTGACTCAAAAAAAACCAAAAACTGTTCCGCTCGGTCAAGCCGAGCGAAGTCTACTTTTTGGCAAAGGAGAAGGTTCTTAAAGACGCAGTCCTGGGTCCTGCAGCCCTCAGGAAATCACGGTTTCCCTAGCAGCACTTAGCGCAGTTTCTCCTGCAGATGGACGAGGAGGTCAACTTCCATGCCTGATCCTTGACCTCTTAAGGAAGTTTGCCACCCAGAACCCATACCTTAGCTCACTGAGGGTGGCCTGGTGCCGAATGGATGCATTTTCAAACCCGTTAGTGCAGGCCCGGTGCATATATAATTGTTACCACACACGTTGAGGTCCAGTTGGGTAAAGGATACAGATTAATGTCTCCTGCACATCCATCCGTGCACACACGTGCCCCCAGGCTGAAGGGCAGTCCGAGGCCCGAAGCAAGTGGGATCGATATTTCTTGTCACATTTTTGCATGTTTCTCGAGGTGGGCTAGAGCCTGGCCCTGAGTAGAAGCTGGGTGCGTATTTGTTAAAGGAATGGACGGAAAGTTAAGGGGCACTGTCTGCACGTGATCTTTGGGGTCACTCTCATCTTCCTCACCAGCAAGGCCACACGTGGAAATGGAGCTTGGTCCCCCACATCACACGGTGGACCACCAGGGGGAGAGCTGTAATGGCCTCTCTACCTCTGAGGCCTCCCAGGCCCGAACCTGGCCGCCTGGCCTTGGACATGTCTGTGCCAGTTAGCACGTGGTCTCCTGACACCTTCCTGACAACTTCTCATGCTCTGGAACCACACAAACAGCTACCCCACGACCATGGGCAAGCTGCCTTGTGCCTCCCAGTCTGGATTTCCTAGGCTAGAGCACGAGGAAGGCAGCAGGCCTATTTTTCTGTGACAGGGTCAAAGTAGGTGTTCGGACCCTTGGCTGCCACCATCCCTGTCGCTTATTTATTTTTAGCCACAACATCTAATTACCTCCCATGGGAAGGAGCTGGAAAGACAGAAAACATCCAAAAGGTCAGTTCAGTTAAAGCCGGTGATCGGCCACAGTCTGAGGTGAGGTGGTCATTCTCGAACTTGGAATGGATGGTCACTAAGCAGGGACCCTCCCAGGGCCACCCTCTGCATGAGGCACTGTCTTTCAGGAGGCATTTCCTGGCTTGCCTGCATTGGTTCCATGGTTCTGCTTTCCCTGAACAAAATGCTCACCAGGTCTAAATATAAGCCAGCCCTTTCCTTAATTACTTTTTAAAAGTGGTTTTGGGATTCACCGTTTGAATGACCCACGTGACTTCTTACACTCATGGCTGTCTCTTAAAAGCATCCCATATGGGAAATGATTTGATGCCCTAAGAAAACAAGCGGGTTGCGGGCTTCCGTCCTCTCTTTGTTTTGGTCTCTTCCGCTTGGACCAGCAGAATACTCATTATGGGCGTAAATGTGTGTGGCATGTGCGTGGGTCTCCATTCGTCTGTGCTTTAGAGATTGGCTCCGCTGCAAGGCAGCATTGTAACGGGCAGCCTCTCCTACATGTTTATTACTAATATTAATATTTCCTCCTGCGTTTTGCAGGGCCGTTCTGTACAAGCAAGCTATTGTCTTATTCTTACTTTGAGGTTTTGTCAAGTGCCACGCTATCAGGCTCCTGAGTTTTTAAGAAGCCATCTTCTCAAAAAGCCTGTAGCGAGAAAGCCGTAAGAGTGTGAGTCCATTGAGCTCCGTTCGTGTGGGTGGCCAGGCCAGCTATTGGCAGAATTGCTGGGCCCATGGGACAGTCACCACAGTCGTGACTCAATTTGGGAGGAGATGCTTTGAGGCTGCGCAAATATCCCATTGCTCTTAAATGTTTCACCCACCAATGTCAGCATCCATTGGTGAACGTTGCCTGCAGAAATGATTACTGTGGTGTTCTAATGAACATTTTCTCTTTCCCTCTTTCCCTCTGCTTTTATTAATTGGAATTCTTCTGTAAAGAAGATCTGCCCCTTTTCCCCCATGTATTTATATTAGTACGAACTCACGGATATTTCTTTTATTCTATGGCTCATAATCTAATACTGTCGTTTATTTTCTTGCTCACGCAAGATGGCCACGCTTCACTTCAGATCGCGAAACAGGCTGGAGCGGGGAATGCCCTGCCCGAGATCATGCCATGGCTTTGGACGCAGCGCTGGTTTTAGAACACAAATCTCTCTTTGAACTCAAGGTTTAGGCCTCTCCCCTCATATGGCGCCATTCTGTGAAGCACGGTGAAAAATATTTAGGTGCGTCCTCTTGCCCCGCTCTCCATTTTGTTTATTTTTTGGTTAATTCAGCTTTGCTTGTGTTTACTTTATAGTCGGGTACAGGAGGAACTCGTGGATGGGGGCGCTGCTGTGTTTAAGTCGGTCACGTACACAGCGCTTCGCCAGCAGGATCCACTGGAGAAGGGGATTTAAAATAAGATGGGCGCATTTTGTATCCCTTTTAAGTGGTCACCCCATGGTGATCGCTTAGGTCACCTCCCTAAGGCAGCACAGGGACGGGAACACATGGTCAGCATCCTAGTTTCCCTGGGACAGTCCCAGTCCTGTTTTCCAGGTGTAATTGTCACGGATGTCCCTTTTTTCCCTCAAAAGTTTACCGATTTGGATGAATGTTTGTATGGTCACCCCAGACTTTCAATCTTTTGGTCCCCATCAGACTCACCTGGACGGCTTGTTATGCCACAGACTACAGTGACCCCTCCCCTACAGCGTCTCCTTCCTTTGGTTTGAGGTGGGGCCTGAGAATGGGCATTTACAGAAAGCTCTAAGGTGATGCAGGTGCTGCCTTGTGGGGACCCCGCTTGGATTATGACTACCCTGAACACTGGACAGACACTCACTGGCAGATGAATGGATGAATGGTTGGCAGGGATAAGATTTGGTCTAGTGGGAGCAGATAGGCAGTTAGGCGGATGCACAATGATGAGATGCTGCTGTCATGGCGGTGATGGGGCTAGTACGGGATGCTCCATGAATGAATACCAGGGGCACCTGATGTGGATTTGAGGCCTCCCTTCCTGGACTCTGGGAAAGAGGTTGTATTGAGCTCTCAGTGCCTTATCAAATCACCTTTTTCC